TCTCAAAGAGCCTGGCATGGGGGCTGGCAAGAGTACAAGCTGTGCATCGTATAGTTTATCCTATGACAGATGCTAAGAGATGCCAACAAAGGTGTGTGTGCATTGTGCAACAGAATAGTAGAGATCCTGAGGGTCTAGTTGGAGTTGGCCTGGCAGATAAGAGGAAGAAGATAAAAGGTCTTCCTGACAGGAGAACCATGCATTCAGAGGAGGCAAGTGGTGGCAAAGAAATAAAGAGGGGGATGGGGAGTTTTGGAGAGCCATGCATTCAACAAGTGTCCATAGCTACAGGCCCAACACACACACAAAAGAGAGAGAGAGAGAGAGAGAGAGAGAGAGAGAGAGAGAGAGAGAGAGAGAGAGAGAGAGAGAGAGAGAGAGAGAGAGAGAGAGAAGTGGTCTGCTAAAAGAGTTTCAGAAAGCATCATGCTGGCCAGAGGAGAAAGAGGTTCCAGGGAGCAGACAGAAGCAGGACCCCGCCCCTTCCTTGGGGGCCTCTCAATAATGTTATGTCTTCAAAGAGACTTTCTGGTTTCCACTCCTCTAACATAACCATCCCCCGTCTCCTACTCTTCATTAGTTTAACATTTCTCCACAGCGTGAATTCCTTCCCAACACTGCACCTATGGATTTATTATGTTTATATCCTGCTTATCTGCACTCAGCAGAAACCATGCATTGTCGCAGCTGTGACCTTCACACACGTGACCCTAACACCCAGAAGAACATCTGGCACACAGGAGAATTTCGATTTTTGCTGAAAAGACAAAAAGAATAACAAAATTCCTCTTGTTAAGAAATGGGAACCTGGAGCTAGAGTGATGACTCAGTGGTTTAGAACACTGGTTTACTCTTGCAGAGGACTCAGGTTCGATTCCCAGCACTCACAATCACCTGCAACTCTAGTTCCAAGGATTTCAACACCCTCTTCTGGCCTGCACAGGCACCAGGCATACACATGGTGCACAGACAGACATGCAGGAAAAGAACTCACATATTTAAAGTAAAATATATCTGAGCAAAAGACAGAAAGTAAACAGGTTTAGTGCCAGGCTGTCGTTCTGAAGCAGTGGGCAGAATGGACTTGAACGTCTCACGCAGACTCTTAGTCTTTCAAAGCTGGCCAAGCCTAGTGGAGTGGGTGGACAGAATACTCTTCTGGGGAAGCACAGCAAAGGGTTAGAGGGTTCGCCCTCGCAAGCTACTCGGTGTGCTTCCAGGCCTATATAGCCCACCTTCCTTCTCCTCCCTGGTGGCTCACAGACTACATTTATGGTTCGTGGATGATCTGTAAGATCTGTAGTTCAGAAGAAAACAAAACATTTAACTGAGGGAAACAAGGCACCTCTAGGCAGATCCCATGAGGAACCTGCATGGTTTGCTTGCAGGGTGGCGACATTAGCAAGAAAAGAGATTTTACCACCTGCCGCTTCTTTTTCTCTAGTCCTTTAAGCATATAGACTTAGAATATTATGTTTGGTACTGAAGGTATTTACAGAAGTGTATGTATATATGTATGTACTATTATTATTAAATAGAATTTTTGTAGCTATATAGCTCAATGGTACCATCTTGAGGGCTGAGTTTAATTAAATCATTAAAAGGGAAACCAAAAATAAGAAGGAGGAAGAGGAGGAGAAGGAGGAGAGAGAAGGGGGAAGCAAGGAATAAATGAATAAACAAATAAATTAGAAAAACATAAATATCAAGTAATACTCTGCTGTTGCCCAGGTTCACTCGCATGGCTTAACTACATTCATTCATCGCTTCACTGGCTCTGTAGACTGGTTGGTTGGTTGATTGGTACTACTGGGGATTGAATCCAGAACCTTGGCAGGCAAGTGTTCTACCACTGAGATACATGCCCAGTCTGAGCTTAATGACTCACATATGGCCAAGGGGTTGACCTCAGCGTTAGAAACACACCAGTTAATAAGATCTGACCTCAAACAGCACCCAGCTTAGTAATAGAGTTGGGAAAGTAATAGAGATGGGCAAACCAATGGCTGTTGAGTTCCTCAAGTGCTGGCAGGAACAACTGATATATTAATAACAAGTTGACTTAACCCTTAAGATCAATTTCCAGACTGTGCTGGCTGGCTCTACCAATGCTTAGCTGGGTGTCTGTGATCCACAAAATGAGAATAAAGAAATAATCTGGGGCTGGCGAGATGGCTAAGTGGGTAAGGGCATGTGCCACCAAGCGTGATGGACTGAGTTTAATCCCTGGAAGCCACACGGTGGAAAGAGGTTGTCGTCTAACCTCCGCATGCACACTGTAACACACATGCCACCCTGCCCCCATGCAAAACAAGTTACAATGTAGTTTGAAAGAAGGAAACAAGACCCACTTGCCTCACAAAACTGTATCACTTGAGAAAGATGATGTGTGCACAGTAAAAGGCTTGAGAACAGCAACCTTCCATCCAAATACACAATATTAGGGTGTTATCAGTGTCCTGAATGCATGTGAGGTACCAAGTTCACAAGGTACCTCACTCCACCCTTTGTTTTTCTGGGGCACATTCTAGGAGGGCCTGTGGCCTCGAGGAATGGGAGGTAGGTACTGAGGGCTGGAACCGGTGAGCAGTCAGTCTGCATAGCTGGCCATCCTGAAATACCACTGGCCTCAGGCATCCTGAGACTAGAGGACACAGTTGGAACTAAGCGGCTCCTAGGCGCTCTAGAGACCCAGGAACAAGGCTGCCTGGGACCACTGGAAATCATTGTAATTTCCCTGCAGGCTCCACCCATTTCTTCAGTCAATGGTGAAGTCGGTGCTATACTGAAGTACTTTTGAAACTGGAGATTAGACTTTACCTTATCACATCCACTTTATTAACTTCAAATCCAATTTTCCTTGGCTCCCAGGTGGAATCAGTTCCTTAATATACTTGCTGATTATTTGCATAGGTATACACCACAAAACTAAGCAATAAAAGCATCAACAGCCTGATTGGAAGATTGATCATTAGATGATAAGCAGATAGTTAATAAACGATTAGGTAGTAGATAGCAAGAAGATGCTAAAGATATAGATAGATAGATAGATAGATAGATAGATAGATAGATAGATATACAGATGCATACACACATACACAGCAACACACATGCGCATGTGCTTGAATGGGTAAGTACTAAGAAGGTTGGAATTTATTGTCAATTTGATATAACACAGAGTCACCTGGAAAGAGAGAACATCAATTTAGAGATTGTCCAGATGAGACATCTGTGCCCAGAGGAGCTATTTGTGAGGATCTGTCGTTATAATTGATTGATGCGAGAGGACCCCAGTCCACTGTGGGTGGATCCATTCCTTAGGCAGGTGTTCCTGGGATATATCTATATGTCTATATCTATATCTAATCTATATCTATATCTATCTAGAGAACAAACTGGTAAGCATTGTTCCTCCACAGTCTGTGCTCCAGGTTCCTGCTTTGGCTTCCCTCAAGCTTTTGGCTTTTCCTCCCTAAGTTTGCTTTTGGTCATGGTGTTTATCACAGCAACAGGAAAGCAAAGTAGCACAAGCACAAACTCAGAAGATGCAGTTAGAGAAGACCAGTTTATTGAGCACCTTGTACGTGGGGAATTCAATGCCGGAGACTTTCAGATATGGCACCACACCTGTCACTGCAGAGTTCTCTCAGCAACCCTGAAGATAGACCCCACTTACCACATAAGATGCAGCTCCAGAGAGATTAAGCAATTTGTCCAAAGCTGTACACTAGCTGGACAGGTTATTTCATCAAAACCCTTGTTCCCAGTTACCAGCCCCCACACACAATGCCTCCCAGCTCTGAGCTGTCTTTGTGATTCTTGGGCCTGTTTGTGTGAGAACTTCTTAGAAATTCTGAGAATTAGCCCCAAACCACGGTCATTCAGGTAGAACCTGAAATCCCTGTTCAGTCATTCCTTTTGTGGCCACTGCAAGGCTGGCAGGTGAAAGCAGGGTCACTCGGGAGATGTGAAAGGGCTTTCTCTTCAGCATCCACTCCCTCCCCGCCAACGCAGAGATGTTCTGGGGGCTGGCCAGACTCCAGGGGAGCACTAAGCAAGTTGGTCTAGGGCCAGAGCCATCTATGGCACATTGTACCCTAAGATCCTCCCCTCCTGCCCGCTTCCTTCTGCTTCCCGCAGCTGGCTCCCACTCCCTGTGAACACTCCTCCCTCTCTCTGTTTATCTTACCTCTCAGCTCCAGGCTGGGCAAGGTCTGCAGAGAAGCTTGGCCCTCTGGCTCCCAGCCCTCTCAGGGTACCAGACCAACCTCCAATGAATTCTCCCTTGAGGAAAGATCCAAAAGTAGTACCTTTGACCATTGGCTTCAGTGTGGAGAGAGACTGGGGAACATTGTGAAAGCATGAGTTTCAGCAAGCTCAGCTGGCCTTGCAAGAGGAAAGCCTCTCTTGGTCTCTGGAAGTTCCCTAGAGGAATTGGCTGGAGACTTATAGGATGCACTGTAAGGATTCAGGAGACAGGAGAGGAGACAGGAAAGCCCCAGAATCACTCCCACCTCATCTGAGTTCCACTTCCCCAATCTTTTGTAGTTTCTGTGTCTTTGCAAATGGACAATTTGGATAGTCTCTATTAACACAGAACTGAGTCTCTGCCGATCCCAAACAAACTCAGTCAGAGCCAGGACTAAGGCTTTCAGAAATGAATTGAGTTGTTTGGCAGATATGAATCTGATGTGAATCAAGTGGAATGTCCAAGTCATAACTCTAACTCCCATGGCTTTGCACCATGTTGGAGGGCAGCCTCTGAAAGTAGAGCTTGTCTCAGGGGTTGGGGCCATCTCCTGCGCTCTCCAGGTGTCTTGGATCTCTTTCTCGGCTGAGGTTTGGGAGCATGGCTGAAACGTGAAATCAGAATCAAACCCTGGTATCTAGTAGCCATAGCAAGAGCTGGCTGATTCTAACAACCAACCCAGGACCAGTCAGAGTTCCACCAAGGGAGGAGCTGGAGGAGTCCCCGCCCACCTATACCTGGTTCAGCAGCTCTACCTTCGCCACAGAGAGAGCCACTCCATCAGAGAGTGGATGCATACCTACATTCAAGGGGTCAGAGCTGAGATGGAAAGGACCCTGGGGACCCAAAAGAGTATGCCTTGCATGAGAATCCTGCCTGGGAGCCTGAAGCACCTGCCATAACAGACCCTCAACAGCTATCTGGTAAGGGAACTGCTGCTACCTGGTACTTAGAGGGCAGGAAGGGGCTCCAGATGTGAGCCCTGCTGGGATGGATGAGGGGGGTGGGCCTGGGATTTTCTGATCCCTAATTCTACCTCAGGTTTTACAGTACAGTGTAATACTCCCTGTTAGAGTGCAGAAAGTAAGCATCAGGGAGGAATAAAAGCACCCAATAACAAGTGAGGGACCCAGATTAGAGCTCCTCCTGTCTGACACTGGAGCTGTCATTGTTTGCCTCTCTGCTGCCAGGCGAGATCAACAGGCACAATGGTTTTCTTGGAGAGGACTCCGGGCACTGCGACCTTTCCTCACCTCTCACCTGCCTCCCCGCACATGACTCTGAACACGCTGAAGTGACTGAGGACAAGGGGAGAGGCTAGGATGTGACACACTCAGGCTTCACAGTGTTTATGCAACGGAATGGAGATGCTTCTGCTTCTCAGAGCCAATCCAGAAAAAATGTCATTGGCCTCCCATGACCTGAGTCTGACCTGTTCTTCCTGAGCAGTGCCAACCAGGTCACACTCAGGTGTGGGAGCAAGAGCTTCAGTCTGGCACTGTGTTCATCCTAGTGAGACTACTGAATCCCCAATGGAAGTCATAGAACATAGAGGGGAATGGAAAGTAGTGTTTATTGTTTGTGTTTGTTCCCCTTTGTCAGGTGGGAAAACTGAGGCCCAGAGATTAACTGTGACCAACTTTCATCTAACTCCGAAGCACAGACTTTCCTCTACAAATAGAGGTGAGATTTCAGCCAGAGAGGTCTGGCTAGTTCAAGAGTGCATAGGCTGCCCCAACTCAAGAAACTCGGGAGTGGGGGGGGCGGGGTCTGATCAGAATTTCCAGCTGCCCTCTAGTGGTCTATGATCACCTCTAAGTGCAGCTCTGTATCCAAGAGGGAGGTCTGAGCCTCCTCCAAGACAGGTAGACATAAAGAGTGACTTGAAGATAGGCCCACCAGCTCCATGGGCTAGCGGACCCCACTGGACTTTCAGCACTCATCCCCAAAGTGGGTTTGACATAAGGAGCAGGGTCACATGTGACTCCGTCAAGTCTGATAAACTTTCTTCATCATAGTGTGCCCAAGCATGTCACACCCGAGCCTTCTTCCAACTCACTACTGCCTTCCTGTGCTCAGTTCCTTCAGTGCGACGTGAGGGAAACTGTTCGTGGTGCGGGCCTTCCCCCAAGGAAACCATGATAGTGCAATGTGGTGCCAGATATGACCTTGGTAAAGATCGAGGACTTGAGAAACGCTGGGTCATGCAGCAGTCACTTAATTGAGGTGTGATCTAAGCCAAAGTCCACCACAAATCTGAGATTCCTCTCTTGAGCCAGAGATGACTGGGTGACATGTGTGGCATCCCACTGAGCATCCATTTTACAATGAGGCACGCCCAGCCCCTAGTAGAGCCAGCAGACAGAATACAGTCACACTCAAGAGCCTGGGATTCCTCAGAGGAGATTCAGAGGCCCATGCTGCAAATATTGTCTTGCTAATAATATGACTGGTTACCAGAAGATCCCTAAAGAGTAAATGGTTCCCAGGTGTACTTGACCAAAAGCAGTTTCTTATAGAAGATGAAAAAAAAATAATGAAGACTCTCCCTAAATAAGAACAGTGCCACTTCAGGCCACACTAGGAAAAACCTGTAGATACTAAGGGCTCAGGGAAAAGGCTTATTCTGAGTGGTTTCCAATGGCCATGGGCAAACCTCCATTCTTTACCAGCTTCTAGAGGTTGAAGCCTCCAGAGTCCAGCTGACCAATACATCACACTCTGCCAGAATCAAACAAACATCTGCAATTCCTACCCTAGTCCCATACCGTTATCCCCTTGATGGGAGTTGGAGGCTCACTTTCTTGTTACACCAAGCATCCTGCTGCCTGAGGTCCTGATGTGGGGTAGTGATAGACATGTGACTTACGGCTTGCACCCCTCCAATGGAGCGTGCACCGTTTCTGCTTGCACACCTCTGTCCCCACCAAGCAGGGCCTCTGCTGGTCATGTGTTTGGCCTATAAGAGAAGCTCATTCAACCTTTAAAATGTTAAATAAAGAGATGGAGGGTATACAAGTCATTCCCAGGGACCCTCTTAAATTTGATGGTGGGGGCATCGAGAGGAATAGTGTGACCAGAAAGAAACATTAAGGAAAGAAAGTATGAATATAGTCACAGAAACTTAATAACATTGGTTTTATAGCTGGTATTTTTGATAAGTGAGTGGGTTCCAATGGCCACAAGTAAGCCTCTGTTTCTTTATCAGCCTTTAGAGCCCCTGCCCACAACTTCTTTTATTCCACTGAGAAAAGGAACAGGATAGAGTATATAGAGTTTATATGCCAAGACAGTCAGTGCTGACTTTATAACAGTACTTGGTATTCACAGGAAGGACACATGGAGTGCAGATATCTGTACATTCATGGTATGAGTTACCTTGTGTCTTACCAGCTGGGGAAGCAAAGTCACAAAAGCCACCATGGAAAGGCGTGAATAACATAGGAAAGAGCACTTTTCATGTTGCTGTGGTTAAGGGAAGGACTTGGGGCAGCTACTTGCATTCAAACTGAGCCTTACTGCTGTGTCACCCTGGGGCTGTCACCTCCTCTCAAAGCCTCAGCTCTCTCCTTTGTAAATAAGAATAGTCTTAATTACTTCAAAGACCTGTGAAGACTGCAGAGGTGCTACTTAGCTCAGGCAAATGAGTGTGAAATAGTCAATAGATAACAGCTATTACATTCACAAGGGGAAAAAAACAAAAAGCCCAAACCACCCCACTTTTCCTTTTTAATTTTTTTATGAAAAAATGTGTATATTTGTAAATATAGATGTGCATAGGGGATAAAAACAATTAACAATGGAAATATCTATGGTATGAGGCTAACAAGAAGAAACAACAGAAGGACTAAACACCATTTTTTTGAGAAAGGTCTTTTTAAATCAATTTTAACTTTTGAAAGCAGTTTTAGGATGATTGAGTCCCCTATGCATGTACAACTGGCCTGACTCTCAGCATCCCGCACCAGAAGGACATGTCTGTTCCCACCTATAAGTCTACACTGGGACTGAGGTGATGGTTTAGTGGTTAAGAGCACTGACTGCTCTTCCAAAGAACCTGGGTTATATTTCCAACATCTGCATGCAGCTAACAGCCATCTGTAACTCCAGTTCCAAGATGACTCTATGCCTTCTTCTGGCCACCATGGGCACTATATACCCGTGGTACACAGACACACATGCAGGCAAAACACCCCTCATCTCATAAAACTATAAATCTGCACTGGCATATGCTGTAATATACACTTCTGACTCAATGAACTTCTGTCCATTTCCATTTCTCTAATAAGCAGATATTAGCTTTGTAAGCAGCATATTATTTAATCAATAAATGATTGAATCTGACCCACAACTCTAGACTGCTTAGGTCTAGAAAGTGGGATGACTCACCAGGGCTAGCACAGAGAAGTAGGTGCCCAGAGTGGGCTACCTGGGAAGCAGCCTGAACTTGAGACCACCACCCTGCCCTGTGACCAGCATAGCAGGTCTGAGGCTGCTGTGCTAGCTGCCTCTGCTTGCTAAGAGATGTCTGACTGCGGCTCACACACCCGAGGAAGCCAGGCCCCTGGAGCATGCTGCCCAATAATCCTCTTGTGCACACTGGCACACAGAAGCTGAATGGCTTCGGAGCTCTGGAATCTGGTGTGGGAGGTTATGAGGATGGTGAGCAACTTCAGACCAAGGAAAGCATAAGGTTGCTGGTCCTGGAGGAAAGGGACAAGGCAGCCAGCTCCAGATTCAAACTCACCTCTGGCATTCACAGGTATTGTGCACTTTTCCTCAAGCCTGTTTCCTCGGTGTAAGACAGGGATAGGCCCGCCCACTATACATGGGGAAGATTAGGTAAGAACATAACCTCCCTCTAAGGCCCAGACCCTGAACTAAATAGGGCAATGTCTGGTTTGGTCAGCATGAATGTAGAGCTAGAGGTGTGAGGACAGGGACACAGTAAGAACAGTCTGGGGCTTCTCAAATATAGGCAATTATACACCCCAGACTGGCTATGGGTGCTTGTTCTGATAAACCGTTGTATAAACAAGGACTCCACCTATATCTGGGGTGGGTTAAAATATTAGCTCCCCCATTCCCTATGGAGGGATACTCTCTCAGACTAGATACATGGGGGAGCACTGAGGTCCTGCCCCAAATGATGTAACAGACTTTGATGACCCCCACCATGGGAGACCTCACCCTCTGGGGAGTGGATGAAGGGTGGGATGGGAGTTAGTGGGGGGCATGGGAGGACGGGAAGGAGAGGGAACTGAGATTGGTATGTAAAATAAAATTGTTTTTAATTTAAAGAAAAAGAAGAATCAGAAAAGAAACCTGGCAGTGGTGGTGCAGGCTTTTAATCCCAGCACTGGGGAGGCAGAGGCAGGTGGATCTCTGTGAGTTCGAAGGCAGCCTAATCTATAGAGCAAGTTCCAGAACAGCCAAGGCTATATAGAGAAACCCTGTCTCTAAAAACAAAACAAAAAATTTCGCTCCTAAGGCTAGGTGCTGGTGGCACATGCCTTTAATCCCACACTTGGGAGGTAGAAACAGGCAAATCTCTGTGAGTTCAAGGCCAGTGTTGTCTACAGAGTTTTAGAGCAGACTCCAAGGCTACAGAGAAACCCTGTCTTCAGAAAAAAAAATTAGCTCGCATATGACAGTGTGCCTGGGTGGCTTGCAAGGAACAGGTGCTACATGAAAAGATGTACAAAGAGGTTGCTCCCCAGGGATGTTAGGACCCATGTTGGGACTTCATGGAGACCCATAATGACAGCAGGGCTGGAGGTAGGTGAACCTTTGGACTGTCGCCTTCACCTTGCTCCGTCTGTCTCCCCAGGTGATTTCTCCTTCAATCTCTTTCTCCGTGTGAATAGCTTCTTCAACATGAGCTACAACATCTACCTGGCCTTTGTGTGTCTGAGTCTCCTTGCTCAAAGGTGAGTGGTGCTACCCCAGAGGGACCCAATGAGAATCACTCTGGTATGGCCATGATGGAAGGGCTTGCAGCATTTTCCATTTAACTTACGACAAGCCGAAACTTAGTCCCTTCATTTCCCTGAAACACAAGAACAATAAAATTCCTGTGGTTCATTCCGTTTTAGAGAACGAAAGTTTCTAAAATGGCCACAGATAGATGGACTTGTGTTTTCCGTAAGACACTTGGTGAAAGGAAGATGGAGAGAGCGGTTAAGAATGTTTACTTTGCAATCAGAGCCCAGATTCCCACAAATGGCAGTAAATTTTGTAGCTGCCAAGTGGGGAGGAGATAAGAGGATCTCTAGGGGTTTCTTCTTCCAGCCTAGCCAAGAAAACTTGAGCCCCAAGTTCAGGGAGAGACCCTGCCTCAAAGGAATAGAAAGAGAAATAGAGGAAGACATCTGATGTGCATATGCAGGTACACATGCCTGCGCGCACGCTTGCGTGCTCACACACACACACACAGAGAGAGAGAGAGAGAGAGAGAGAGAGAGAGAGAGAGAGAGAGAGAGAGAGAGGGAGAGAGAGAGGCACACGAGGGGCGGGGGTGTCAGTCAAGTTCATGTCTATCTGTGTTAATCAATATTTGAACAACATAGCAACAAAAGCAATTCTCCTTTCCAGGACATGTATCCAGGGGAACCAGTTCAATGTGGAGGTCAGCAGAAGTGACAAGCTTTCCTTGCCTGGCTTTGAGAACCTCACTGCAGGATATAACAAATTTCTCAGACCCAATTTTGGTGGTAGGTTATCCTTTGTGATAAGAACATCAGTTCAAAAGGATGGGCACAGAGACAAAAGGTAGCAGAGGGCTTCAGGAGGCTTTGCTGACTCCGCCCCATGACGGGCAGATGTGTTAGGAATTAAGAATGTTGGTGATTTTTCATACTACCTTAAAGAAAGCACTCTGCTTCTCCATTTACAAGATAAAGGTGTTCTCTCCACCTCTGCGGTAGGTGCAGGAGCCTCTGGCAGGCTCTGCCACACTCTTCCTTCTCCCTACTTCCATGGTCACTGTTCCAGGAACTCACCATGCACCATCAGCGCTACTAAATGTGGTCTTCCTGCTTGTAGCCTGTCACCTACAATGGTCACCCCTCACTTCCAGATGGATAACTTCCTGGGTCACTTGCCTGCTCAGAACACAGGCACGTGACCCAGCAGCCTAGCCTGAAGTCCAGGCATTCCAGACCCTTCTCAGCTCAGCCTCTGTCTACCTGTCATTCTCATCCTTCCACAAGTCCCACAATATGGCCAGTAGCATCCTTAGCCTCTGACTTCTGTGCCAACGCAGAGGCTGCTCATCTGCCTTGAGTTACTCCTCCAACTTGCCTCTCTAGGAACATAATTTTCCATCATGTCTCGGAGAAAGGCTACTCTCCTCTGAAAGGCTCTCCCTGATTCCTCCACAGTCCACCTCCTTCTTTTGAACACCCCCCCCCATCACCGCATTTCCTGTTATACTGTACCTAGCTTTATGTCCCTGTCCTCCTGCTTCTCTCTTCTGATGGTGACAGTCTTTAGTCAGATCTAGAACAGCATGTAAATCCAGGTCCATTGGTGGTCAGATGCTGAGTGGGGGGGAGCATTGCCTCTTCAAGTTATTTGTTGGACTGTAAAGAGTGAGAATGGATAGAGAAGCTGGAAGAACCCTCAGGCCACAAGGTGAAGAGAGAAAGGCAAGGAAGTCTAGACAGAGGTGTCTTGGACAGAAGTACTGATGGAAATGTGTTAGGGAAGGCCACTGGGGAGTTCCGGGGCAAAGCTGCCCAGGAGAGGAGGCCTCTGGCTCTGGGCATCCTGGATCACCCCTGCCTTGTGAGCTGTTTATGCGCAGGTTCCTGGGTGGTTAACATTCCTGGGTAGCTGATGTCCATGCTACCATTTATCTGTAGAGCCTTAGATCAGACACCAGGACCCTCAGGCAATCTCACTGGCTCAGCTGGAGATCTGGGCAGCGTCTGGTCCTAGTTAGGATCTGTTCTTTATATTGAGGACCCAGCGAGCCACCACTTGCTCTGGGTTCCCAGGCTTTACTACACACTAACAATAAGCACGTGAGTCTAAAGAGCTTGCTTACCTCCCAAACCTCAAACAACTAAGTCAGTACATCACTCTCAAGTTTTCACAATGACAGGTCAACCAGAAGCAGGCATGCTGGCCAGGGAGCTTGTTCTGAGAACAGAGCACCTAGGGTGGGCTTAAGGGAGCGTGAGGCCCAGTCCCAGCTCACTTAAAAGGAGACAAAGCACAGCACCATGCTAGGTGACTTTGTGCATTCCATCTCCTAAAGGAACCTGTCCTGTTGGTCACCCTATGGGTCAATGGATGTGACCTTGCTTCCTGTCACATTTGTGTACCAGCTTCTTGGCCACCAAGGTCCTTGAAAGACTAAAACTTCTGTAGTATTTTTCAGGGACTAAGCTGGGTAAAGCAAAGGTTTTCAAGTGGGCACTACACACACTGCCCAGGATGTCCACCTTTTTCCTAGGAGAAAGGTGCCCTCTGGTGGCACAGCTTACTTGTATAATTTCAGGAGATGAACGGAAGCTCTGGTCCATAAAACAGCCAAGTGTGGCTGGACTACACTATGCAGGGGAAAACTAAGCAAAAGAGATGGTGGGACTAAAGCTCCTGTGAGCTTTCAACTCTGTACTCTCCAGAGAGGTAGACTAAGGAGACACACCTGTAACGTGTAGTCTTTCCGCCAGACGCCTGGGTCCCGCAGCTGTCTCAGCCCCCAAGTAACGCACGAAACACTATATTAATTATGAAGCTGTTAGCTGTTTGCTGGGTTTCTTATCAGCTAGCTCTGACTTAATTATTAACCCATAACTGCTAATCTGAGTATTTCCACGTGGTCTTCTCTTACTGGAGAAAGGGCCCGCACCTCTTACTCCTCTGGTGTTCTACATTGTGACTGACTGTGCCTCTGTTTCCCAGAATCCTCCTTGAATCGTAGTCCCACCTTTCTTGCTTCCCTATTGACCAACAGTGCTTTATTTAATAAACCAATAAGACAACATATACACAAAAGAACTTACCCCATGACCCACCATTTTCCATGCTCTCCCACTCAGTCTTCTGTGCTTGTCTTGGCCTGTTTAGTGCAGCTATAACATAATGCCTGGACCTGGATAATTTATAACAAACCCAAACTCATTGGCTTATAGTTCAGTATTAAAACGCTGGCATTTTGCAATGGCCTTACTGCCATGTCATCACACGGAAGAAGGGGAGAGGGTTGAGGAAGACAAAGGAGGGCTGAACTTGCCCTTTCCTAATAGCACCAACCCCACTCATGGAGCTGGAATCCTCATGGCCTAATCACCTCTTAATACTGTTACGTCAATTCAATTTCCACATGACTTTGAGAGGGTACAGACATTGGCAATTGTAACAGCAGGTTACAGACCATTTAACACAGGAAAAAGCAGCACAAAGAGATTTAGCAATGTGCTTGAGGTCACATCGCTACATTACACGCAACCATTTCTCTCTGACTCAAGACTCTTCTCGATGCTGTGCTTTGCTTCTTTGAGTGGCAGAAAGCCACCTGGCACCACATCCTTCCACTCTGTCCTCAAAGATTTCTCACTAACCATTAACTCTTATCTCTCAATTGCATTGTCTCTAAAATTCCGTTTCCAAATTCCTGCTTACGTTCCATAGCTTTCCATAGCTTGGTTTTCCTGGACTGCTTTGACTAATTCTGACCAATTAGATGATTAGGTATTTTCCTAGTTTCTTTAGAATCCCTCTTCCTGGTTCATTGCCACAGTCCCTTGAGGCCATCTCAGCTATTTAGTGCAAGTGGGACATGCTTTATCCATTTACTTGGTGAGCAAAGTTGTCCCTTCCCCAACATTAGCTAGGATTACAGAAGAGAGTGAGAAAGGGTGGGGGACACTTCTGATGGGGCATGGCATACACGATATTGGAAGCTGTGTGTAGGGAACCAGTTCTGAGATTCTTAGAGGGAATAGATGGACTCTTTGCATACATTCCCTCTTGCTGTCACTGGCTGAAACAATGTCATCGAACCTCCATCACCGTTTTGCAGGTGAAAAACACTCTAGAAGGGAAAAGGCAGCCCTAGAAGATACAGTAACTTATAGCTGATGGCAGAGCTAAGAGAGTTCAAAGTTTAGATCTGAATTTACAGGGTTCACACTCCTGAGCCCTGGAACTGGTCTGGAAATGGTCCCTACACTCCAGTCTTCAGAACAAAACATGATTCTCAGTGGAGTCTTTCAATGTCTCTAATCTCCAGGACTGAGGCTTACTAAAGTCTGTGCATTCCAAAACTTCAGGGCTCCAAAGAGAAAAGGAAGAAAGTGTCTGAAGTCCACAGCTCAGCTGTCATCTGTCTTCGATGCCATATTTTGATAAATTTCCAAGTCATTTGTGTACAATCACATGAGCAAATCTCTGTCCCATTCTACACAATTAGCCCCCTGCAGGTACCACAGGAAAAATCTTCCAAATAAGAAGAAACAGCTACTTTATTTACCATTAGCCTCCTTAAAATACACATTAATGGGCCAGGAGGATGACTCAGCGGGTGAAACTACCCACCTGACTACCTGAGCTCTGTTGTCTTGCTCAATGGAAACGCTGGGTATAGTGACACACATCTGTAACCCTAGCATTCCTATGGTAAGACGGGAGGTGGAGATGGACGGACAGTTCTGGAACTCTCAGACCAGATAGCCTTGGGTTTGCTGTACATCAGCAAAATAATGAGAGACCCTGACTTAAAAACAGAGGTGAGCACCAGCTCCCAGAGTGTGCAGCACCTCTCTCTCTCTCTCTCTCTCTCTCTCTCTCTCTCTCTCTCTCTCTCTCAAATAAGTAAATTAATCTTAAAATATTTTAAATACCCATTAATTAATAATTGTGTGGCCTCTCTTATGAATCATGATGCCCCTGTGTATTTGTGTATATTTTTCATACTGCATAGTTGCTCCTGGGAAGATAAAATTAATTTTCTTACTTTTATAGTTCAGATGATTTAAATATTTCTAATACATGAATATTGCTTTTATAATTTTTAATAGTTTTGTTTCCAACCCACGAAGTAGGGCAAGGGGTGGAAATGGCTGGTTGGAAGGAGGACTTGTGTTTGTGTTTCTATGTAAGTCTCTCTCTGGTTTTTCTTCGTTCTCAGGTGACCCAGTTCGGATAGCACTGACTCTGGACATCGCAAGCATCTCTAGCATTTCAGAGAGTAACATGGTAATTGTTACCCAGTGGCAGTCCACCATGGGCCCTCTCCTTGCTTCCCATCGCGATGTCCTTTCCAATTACTCAGAAACAGAATGGCAGATGCCAGAGCTCTGTCTCCTAAGTGGAGACAGTAGGAGATGTTAATCAATAGGTTTTCTGGGTATCAGGAAGGAAACAGACCCAAAAGACAGGAAAAGAGAAAATAGAAAAAGAAGTGAGTGCATTCCCTGAGAAATAATAAAACTGGGGGAAAGAAGAAGAAAAAAACATGGTTCAGAGGTCTGGACTTCACATGGTCTTTCAGAGAGAGGGTCAGCCGATGCAAACTAGCAATCGAATGACGAGCTTAAGAGAACACAAGAAAGATGAGGCCAGGAGGTAGGCAGTTTGCCAAGAGGGCCCTTGAGGCATGATGGGTAAGTCCTGTGCAACCCAGGCATTTGCCCAACAAAACCTTCATCATTTTAATGGCAACTGTGTTCTCAGGCAGTATGAGGTTTTTTTTATTTGTTTTTATTTTATTGGTGTTTTGCCTGTATATGTCTGTGTGAGGGTATTGGATCCTGGAGTTACAGACAGTTGTGAGCTACCATGTGGGTGCTGAGAATTGAACCGGGGTCCCCTAAAAGAGTGCTCTGAACCGCTGAGCCATCTCTCCAGCCCCAGTGTGAACTTTTATGTCAAGCAGGTCAGGTCCCAAAAGTGGACCTTGGCAGTAGGAATTATTATCTAAAATAAATAATGCACTTAGTTCTTTCATAGCTGTAGATAAGTACCACACCAATAACTTAAATATATATATATACATATACATATATATGGAGAGAGAGAGACTATATATAGAGAGGGAGGGAGGGAAATTTAACCCCCTTTCTTCTGTTTTTTGGGGTCTCCCTCCTCCTGCTTACCGTTTCCTTTTCCGGCTTTCCTCTTAGGACTACACAGCCACCATATACCTCCGACAGCGCTGGACAGACCCACGGCTGGTGTTCGAAGGCAACAAGAGCTTTACTCTAGATGCCCGTCTCGTGGAGTTCCTCTGGGTACCCGACACTTACATTGTAGAGTCCAAGAAGTCCTTTCTCCATGAAGTCACCGTAGGAAACAGGCTCATCCGCCTCTTCTCCAACGGCACTGTCCTGTATGCACTCAGGTGAGAAGGTGTCTGGGACTCTGGGATTGGAGGAAAAGGCACTTACAAGAGGAAAGACATGTATATTCTGGTACTTCTGACCAGCACCAAAGGGCCAGCCTGAACTCCCATTCCCCACAAGCTCCTGTTTTATACCCCAGTGCCAATCAGAAGGGCTTCTCTCAGTACAGCCTGGCTATAGTCACATCTTCTAAGCAACTACTCGGTGCCAGGCCTCCTGGAAGACTACTTGCAGTCTACTAAGGAAAAGCTGAGTGAAACAGACCTGCTCCTGTGAGAACAGGATGTAAACAAAGGAAGTATTGGGTGCCAGGATCCAAGCTGGGTAATGGTTAGGGGTGATGTTACAATGCACTTTTGTAGGATTATAAACTGGGCCTTTAAGAGCAAAGAAAGTTAGCAGAAAAGGAAGAAAGGGTGCTAGAGAGACAGCATGGGGACCTTGAGTTCAGAATCCCGGCGTCGGTATAAAAGGTGAGCCTAGTGGCATGCATCTAAAACCCCCATGCTGTGGGATAGAAACAGACAGATCTTGGGACTTACTAACCATACAGTCTAGCCCTAAGTTGTAAGCTCCCAGGTTCAATGAGAGACCAAGTCTCAGAAGAAAAGAAAAATAGGGTGAAGACCGGATGACTTCCTGAATAAAATGCTTGCTGCCCAGGTTTGAAGATTAGAGTTCTAAGCCCTACCAATCATGGCAGCCCACGAGCGCACTAGCAGATAGATAGCATTTCTGGGCATGTCTCAGAAAGACTGCATTTCACAGAGACCGGCCCAAACCCCAACTCCTCTTTCAAGAAACATAACTCTCCATTGATTCCCAATCTACATATTTCCTCCATGCTTCCATGGGAACCTGTTGATTTGCACAGTAGGTGTGTTCATATAAACTTCTGTACCTGGGAGTGTGCATCTAGTTTGTATTACAGCACGTAATGCAATCAGCCTGTGGAAGAATTTAAGAACTGCCAATAAATCACAGTTGATAAACAACTTGCCACTAGACTTTCTAAATGGTTTCTCAAGCCAAGGTTTCTCTATGTAGCCCTGGCTCTCCTGGAACTCACTCTCAAACTCACAGAGATCCACCTGCCTCTGCCTTCTGAGTGCTGGAATTAAACGTGTGTGCCACCACCAGCTGGCTGTCACTAGACTCTAGTCTTAAACAGTTCTGTGAACTTGAACAAGCTACTAGGCCCTCTGAGCCTCAGTTTCCTCAAAAACAAAATAAGAAGACTAGCAGTTCTATCATAGAGCTATCCAAAGGGTTAATGTGTGTGTGACATCCTCAGCACAGCAACTGACTTGCAGCAAGCAAGTAGTGACAGTGGCTGTTTTTTCTCTGTCTCCCTTAAAGGAATGTAGAGCTCCATCAAGTTGGACACTATGCTAGAGCAAACACATCTGCCTCCTAGATGTAGCCAGCACTGTACTTCATAGACCAGGAACCCACTAAAAATGTGTGAATGTAAGAAAGGAAGATAAAGGCCTGACTTTCAAAGTCTCCACTGTCTTGTTGAGCAGCCTGGGGTGAATCCGAGAGCTGTGAGCTGTAGCACCCGGTACCCTCTGGGTTCTCTACATCCTGACCCCACCAAGGATCCAGGAGACCAGGACTCCTGTCACACCTATGCTGCTCAGAGCCTTGCAAGCCTAAGCAAGTCCAGTGATCACTGTTCCAGACCTACAAAGGGTTGTCATTGAAACCCTAAGTACAAAAACATCCCCAGAAAGAGGAAGTGGGCACAAAGTCCCACTCCCAACCAAGATGCTATTTGCAAGTGATAGCTGCTGGTAGGCAGGGAATCACTTTTCTCTAATGGAGTGACATTATATCAACCATACTTCAGAGTAGGCCTCATGTTCAGGAGCAGTTGGTCCACACAAAACAGATTCCGTGGGTTTTGTTTTGTTCTATGTGCTTTGTTGTTGTCATTTTGGTTTGGGGTTTGGGTATTTGTTTGTGTGATTGGTTTTTTTTTTGAGAGAGAGAGAGAACATGAAGTTGGGTGAGTAGGAAGCGAGGATCATCTAGGAATAGTTGGGGTAAAGGAAAGAATATGATCGAAATAAATTGTATAAAAATAAATTACAATTTTTAAAAAGTATCTTCAGAGGCTACAGAGATGATTCTGCACTTGCAGAGGACCTGGGTTTGGTTCCCAGCACCCATACGATGACTCACAACCATTCTTAACTCCAGTTCCAAAGGACCCAATACTGTGAAAGACTTAAAATAAATTGAATAAAGGTAAAATTTTTGTTTTTAAAACCTATTCAACACACTGGAGAATGAGTCTGTTCTGTAACATTGTAGATGTTTGCCTCTGAGTTGCCAGCATTCCAGCTTCTTCTACTTTGGATCCAGCTTTAACTGGGTCTGATGAGTATTGTTGAGCACAGAAAACCTCAGGAATGCTTGGATGCAGGCTCCAAGCCACAAGTCCCCACAAGAGTCTGAGAAAAAGTCCTCTTGGAGCAGACCTCAGGAAGAAATGGGAACTTCATCTCTTCCTCATAGCACTCTTTCTGAGTCCATTTCTTTTCTTTTTTATTTATTTCTTATTTTTTAGAATCACAACAACTGTTACATGCAACATGGACCTATCTAAATACCCTATGGACACACAGACCTGCAAGTTGCAGCTAGAGAGCTGTGAGTATACATCCTGAAGTCCCCCGGGTGACTTTCTTGGGTGACTTCCATCTCTGTTTTTGCAGAGTACCCCATGCCCTATGAGCTTTCTTTCTTTATGCTGATCCACAATGGATTGAACCATTCCGCCTGTACATCCAGATAGATTCATATTCTTTCAAAGGCAAACTGTGTGACGTTGCCTCTTTGGTGGAGGACCATTCCGCATTAGTACCTAATATCTCCAGCCACAAGTAGAGAGATGACTGAAGAAAATGCTTTAATATAGCTGATATGTAGATCATGGCCAGCACACTGCATCCATCTGTCAAATTGGGCCCGTTGCCTGTTTCTGGAAGGAGATGCATTACAGCAGAGTGACGGCCATTCATTTGCAGATTGTCTGTGGTTGCTGTCACACCGTAATAACAGAACTGAGTATTTGTGACGGAGACTGTACCGTCCACAAAGCCTAAAATAATAACATTCTTCATCGCTTCAGAACTTTTAGGAGCCTCCAAGAGCTAATTCCATGTGAAATTCCAAGGATTGTATCCTTTCCCAGACTGTCATAGCCACGGAATCTTGTTTCATGGATATTTCTATGGCTACGACCTTTAGCCACACATCTACCCTTGCCATACCAAAACCAAATCAACCCCAGACCCCTATAAATGCTGATGCAGATGTCCTGAGCCTCATCAACCCCATTTCCATTTGTTATTAAATATGCCTCAGGTTAGCCTTTGAAGCCCAGAAGGCTTCAAAAGGTTTCTTTACTTTTCCTAATAGACATGTGCTGGCTTCTAGTTAAACCTTGCTATGCAACTACAGAGAAAGTAGGGAGGCTAGCTGGAAAATGACCATAGGAGGGACAGCTAATGTTATGACCTCAGTCTGCCTTTGTCCTGGTCACCTTGACCAAATCATTTTTCCATTGGCAGCAGTGAATATAATGAATAATAGGCTCTTTTCCTGATAAATAGTGCTGCATCCACATGCCAACCACTCTTAGAGATACCTTCCAAACAAACCCGTAAGTGTAGTTTTTCCCACCTTATGATTATAGAAATTGAGACTCATCACAATTTAGCATTTTTCTAAAGGGACCTGGGAAGCAGAATCAGTGGGTCTGAAGCCCGGGGAGAGGGAACAACAGTTCCAAGAGCTCTTTTACTGGCCAGAGGCCCATGAGGATATCGTTCCAGTGGCTTGCTTGTCTGTGATGTGGGCTATCCATTTCTCCCTATATGCCATAACATGCTTTCAAGCAATTGTATGGGATTTCTAGGTTCTCAAGCACCAATTGATAATCACCATTTCCCCCCCCAAACCAAGGGACCATGTAGTGCTTGTTTGAGATTCGCAAACCATGCCAAATGCTAAACTGAAATACAGTATGACTATCAGATGGCAGTCCCAAGCTTCTTCCATGCCAGTTCCTCTTGGTTACTTAGGAACAAGGCCAGTGTTTTTCCTTTCCCCTGTGTCTTAAGGAAAATATTTTGACTCAGTCTAATACTTCAGTTCTACATACTTTCCCACTAAAGTCTCCAGCTAGTCTGGATGGGTGGCTGAATTTCATCTGCCTACCCTCAGTTAGTTCACCCACTCAACAACCACATGCCTGTTCTGTGTTAAATGCCATGTTGAATATTGGCAATACAAAGATAAAACGATTCACCCAGTCTTCAAGAAGTATACCACCTTACAGAGAACACGGGACTTAAAATAATCATGAGAGAATAAAAGATAACAATAAAAAGTAATGGCACCATGAAAGCCTGCTAGGGAGTCAGAGATACCCAGAGGGAATTATCACCTGAAATCAGAGGAGGGATCAGTTCCAACTGACTAAGTGGACAAAAAAAAAAAAAAAAACAGGGCACAGTACCACAGAAACGAGAAGAAACAGAGCAAAGGTTAGTAAGGAGCAAATGGGAGTTGGGTCATATGGTGGGTGGGAAGCACAGAGTGCTTGCCTAGCATGTGAAAGACCCTGGGGGAGAAGAACCAAATATTCAAATCAATCATTGATGTTTGTGATGCAGCTGCCTCCAACACACAAAGGACCTCACTTGGTATATGTAAAGCTTTGTAAATGGGTAAATGAGCATCTAAATCATAGCCTGGGTATTTCCTATATTGGAAAAATGAGGGTTTACTCTAAATGGGTATAGGTCAAATCAATTCCTTGAGATTGTTAAACAATCTCCATTGTTTCTTAGTGTGCATCTCTGAATATCCCCCAAACTTGAGCACCTGGGATAGGGAAATAATGCCACAGATATGACTCATGAAGGCATCAAAGTGGAAAATAACTATAGACAAGTCTTGGGAACCACTGGGTACTCTATACTTAAGGAAATGCCAGAAGAGAAGAACTGTTATGAGAAGAAGCCATTTTTCAGAAGTATACATTTAACTAGAGACTTAGGCAGATTAATTATCCTATTGATTCAGTGCATGCAAACCCTTCTTGAAGGAATGCAGATGTTTGGTAGCAGAATGCAACTTGAGGTTATCAAAAAGAGAAGTCATTCGGGTGTAACACAATAGAAATAATTGCCCTCCATGTGTCATGACTGGGTTCATCCCGAATCCCAGGAGCAAGATTCTCCAAGAAACTTCAGCACTTTGAGTGCACAAACACTATCCCCAAGGAACAGAGGAAGCTTCCATGGGCTGCTTATTAGCAGGCGTTTAGGTATTAAAAACCTCACTAAGGTTTTCTTTTCTTTTCCTATATACTACCACTAAAAAAATTATTGATATTATCTTAATCTCCCACATTTACCTAGGAACAAAGAGTGGTAGTAGATAAAAACTGTGAACCTCTACTAGGAGTGAAACCAAGTACCTAGGTAGAAATCTGCTCTCCTCATTTTCTTAGAGATATCTTCATTACTTTGGGATTCCAATCTAATTTCAATGACTACCTTCCACTGGTTTCCTGTTATTCCAAAGGAAAGCCCACAGCTTCATCTGGAGCTCAAGGAGCTCAGACATTATAAGATAAAGCCTACTAGATAATAAGTTCCATAAGGATTATTCTTAGCATAATATTGGTCCCAACATCAGCATCATAGTCTCAGTAGCCTTTGAAGCAATGAAAAAAGATGTTTGTGTTTATAACCATAGGTGCTGGAATCATATGGCATTATCACTAGCTGTATGATATTGGCTAACAAACCTTTCTGAGTCTCAGTTTCCTACTCCTTGAAATGGAAAAAGTAACAGTACCTGGCTGGATGAGTTGCCTTCTATATAACTCAGATTTATTGAGCTATAATGTATGTACCATAAAATTCACCCATTTTAAGTATATAATTGAAAGTTTTTAGTAAACTTACCAGGGTGTGTAGCCCTTGGCAGGATGCATTGCTGAAACATCCCCATCACCCCCAAAGAGATCCCTTGTGCTTATTGTGATCTCCCCAATTTCCTACCACCAACTCCCAGGTACCACTAACTTACATTCTGCCACTATGGATTTGTCTCACATGAACATTTCATATAAGTAAGATCAATATGATCTGCTTCCTTTTGCATCTGGCTTTTTCACAGAATGCTGTGGCATGTTATCAGTACTTTATTCCTTTTAATTGCTGAGTTCTGTTTCTTTCCTGCTTTTTCAGTTGGTGGGCTTTTAGTTCATTCCTAAATCTGGCCACTGTACATAATGCTGCTGTGAATATTTCTACACCAGTCTTTCTGTGACTGGTACTTCATTTCTCTCAAGTAAATGCCTTGGAATAGAATTCTGATTCAAATGATATATTTATTATTTAGGTTTTTAGTTAGTCGTTTTGTTTCCCAAAGTGGTTGTATATCTTACATTCCCACCAGTACAGTTCCAGCTTGTCAATATCTTTATCATTTTTTCTCATCTCTTCATTATTATCACTATCTGAACAAGCATGAAGTAGTGTGTGGTTTTGCTTTGCATCTTCTTAGTGACTGATAAAATTGGGTCTGCTTTTTGTGCTCATTAACTATGAACACATCTTCTCAACAAGGATTAGAGGAGATGATAATGTCTCAAGGCACTTAGAAATTGCTTACTGAGTAATAGATACTACATGATTATCACTGACATTCATGTACTTTGAGATTAAGCTTTTCAGAGAGGGGCACAGTGTTGGCTTTTGTATCTTATTTGCCTACAGGCACCGCATCCCTTCCCTCTAGGATCACCCATTTCCATCATTCCTCAGCAGTCCCGTTTGGCTCCGCCCAGGACCCCTGCTTGCCTCCCAAACCCCCGTAGTTACCAGACATCCGGGCTACGCAGTGCGAGTCGCAGCAAATAGAGCCCAGCACTGCCCATGCCCAAGCAGATGAAGCCAATCATTGGGATGAGCTGCAGGAAGAACCAGGTGCTCTGAGGGTCTGAACTCTGCACAGGTCCCACTCACCCGGTGCCAGCGTTTCCACCCCTTTTATCTTTATGCAAGGTCTACACCCTCCCGTTCGTTAGGGAGCGAGACTGAAGCCTACAACCACATTTTCACCATACTCTCCCTTCCTCTGAGATGATCCTGCCCAAGGAAGATTCCAGGGACATGGGATATATTACAGATAGAATGTGGGATGTCCCTGGAAGATTTTGGAGCATTAAGGAAGCCAGACAGGAGGCAGGGTTTAGGGGTTCTTGAGAGGTGGGGTGGCAGGAGGGAAGTTAGAGTCTGGGGACTGAACTCACCCCGGGGTGTCTTTTTATCTGCCGGTAGAAGTTATGAAACCCTTTAGAATCTGAGAGTTTTCATATATAATGGACAAATGATTCCTCTAGTCTAAGGTATAGTATCTAGTGAATAAGCACATTTTAGGAAAAAATGATACTTCACATACATAAATTGATAGTAAGATCCATCACAATTTCAGAAATGTAAAAACAAAAGTCCATCTTAAAGTTGAAGAAACACAGAAATGTCTACAGGACTATAAGGACGTTAGAGATATGTGTTGTGTAGAGGACAATATAAATGGCTCATAAAAGGTAACTTATCACTACTATCAACTGATATGAGTAAAGCCAACATTTATCAAAAGCACATATTGACAGAAATTCATAAAGTGGCTGGTTACAGGATTTTTTATTTTTTCATTTATACCAGTGAGAATATGAATAGATCCCTCCTGAAGTCCCAGACATTATCCAAGCTTAGACTGCTCTGAAAGACAGGCTCTAACATGGGTCTCTTTGTGGTAACATGCTTAATAAGTGTCATTCAGTAGGGAGGCCATTTATATCATCCGCCAGGCTTGGACAATGCCTAGCACACAACTACTTCTCAACCAGTCAAAACTGGTCCTAGCAAAAGATTTCATTCTGCTAAGCTTGAGAAACCTAGCCAACTTTTGCATGACATGCTCCTTTAGAATAGAACTCTTGCTGTGTCTACTCTGTGTCATTTCTCAAACCAGCTAAGTCTGTAGAATCCTTGCACTAACCAGGGCTCACTTTCCTTTACCAGGGGGATACGATGGCAATGATGTGGAGTTCACCTGGCTGAGAGGGAATGATTCTGTACGTGGGCTTGAAAGCCTGCGCCTTGCTCAGTACACCATCCAACAGTATTTCACTTTGGTCACCGTATCCCAGCAGGAGACAGGTAACTCTTGTGACCCATCACACAGAGAATAAAAGTACTTAAAGAAAAGGTTGCCACCTGAGTCATAAGAGCATGACCTCCACCTCTACTCCCGTGGAGTGCAAGCATCCTGTAGTGGTGTAGAGTAGGGGAAGGGATATGGGCATAGAACCTGTGGACTCTACACTCAGGATGGACACGGTCTGCTGGAGAATAACCTTTTGGGCCAATACTGAATTTTAGCTGGTACCTTCCAGGATTTTCTAATGACTATTCAAATGTAGCGCTCCCTTGTACACAACAAGTCACTCATGTTTCTAAAGAGCACACTGGTCACTGAAGAATGAAGTTAAGAAAGTGTTCACAGAGCCGGGCGTTGGTGGCGCATGCCTTTAATCCCAGCACTCGGGAGGCAGAGGCAGGTGGATCTCTGTGAGTTCGAGGCCAGCCTGGTCTACAGAGCGAGTTCCAGGACAGCCTCCAAAGCCACAGAGAAACCCTGCCTCGAAAAACCAAAAAAAAAAAAAAAGAAAGTGTTCACAGGTAAAGAAGACAGTAGCAATACCACATGACTACCTTATTATCTATTCATCATGTACAGAGCCAGATGTCTGGGAACTGGTCATTTTAAATAGTTGTTTTGGTATTTCAAAATAAGGTTTCTCTGACTGTTCTGGAACTTGCTCTGTAGACCGGCTAGCCCCAAACTCACATAGATCTGTCTGCCTCTGCCTTCCTAGTGCTGGGATTAAAGGCGTGCACCACCATGCCTGGCTTAAATAGGTATTTTCTAAATGACCTGATTTTACAAACAATGGCATTTTCTTCTCTGTTCTTCATGGCCAAGTTAGGAATCCTTCACTTCATCAATATTTATACTCTTTAAAACATTTCCATGTACTCTAGTTGAGTCTAGATGACTTTAAAAATTAAATGTATGTCAAACTGTGACTAGAAAAAAGACAGGAAAGAAAGATGACAGCTCCATATTGTTTATATTCCCCGCAGGCAGCATGTGTACATAGGTAATTTCCTAAGCATGATCCTGGAGTGATACCTCTGAAATAAACAAAAAATAAATTATTGGGGATGGGTGGATAGCTCAAACAATAAAGTGCTTACCTTGTGAGCATGAGAACTTGACTTCAATCCCCAGAACCCACAGTGGGGGAGGGGTGGACACACTGGGTACACCACTTGTAACTCCAGTACCAGAGAGGCAAAGACAGTGGAACTCTGAGGCTCGCTGGCCAGCACCTAGCCTACTCGGCAAGCTCCGGGCCAATAGAAAATCCTGTCTCAAACAAAAAGGTAGATGATGCCTGAAGAACAACATCCAAGACTTCACTCTGGTCTCCACAAACATTTACACATACATACACACACGTGCATATACACAAAAATGGAATTATATTTAATAGGCCTATTCCACTGTAATCTAGAAAACAATGGACTGTCTTAAGTAATCTTCATTAAACAGGTATTTATTAACAACTTACCATGTGAGTGCAAGACTGAGAGACACAGGGTTTTCCCCCCTGGGGGTTCACAGTCTAGTGAGTTACATGTGAAGAAAATTGGTGCTTACGATACTGAAGGAATGCTTTGATAAAGGGAGGCATAAGAAGAAAACACGAGTGCATGGCTTAGATGGTAGCAGCCCTGCAAATCCCATGTCAGGCAACACAGAGGACCTTTGTGGTAGTCAGAGAGGCAGTTCACAGTTGACTAGATTTTGGTAACATAAGGCTTAGTACGTCTGTGGTTTGGGCAACTCCTCTCCTGTGTGGACAGACACAGTTTCTTACCTCTTGTTTGCACTCTCAGGAAACTATACTCGATTGGTTTTGCAATTTGAGCTTCGGAGGAATGTTCTGTATTTCATTCTGGAAACCTATGTTCCTTCTACTTTCCTGGTGGTGTTATCCTGGGTTTCATTTTGGATCTCCCCTCGATTCGGTTCCTGCGAGAACCTGCATTGGTAAGAAGCTCCCAGGGACAAGTTCTAAGGACTAGGTGAATCAGGTGCTGTTTAAATTTCTATCATTATCTTCACTAATGGTTGCAGGGCCATCCTAAGAGTTGGTATCACAGAACGAGAAATGGGTGCAGAGATAGGAGGACTGTATTGTTTTATAGTGACAGATGAGATGATCTTGTGTAAACAGTCCACTGTCAGTTACTTTATTACTGACTGTCCATCTCTAAGAGAAGACAGAAGATGACAGATTTAGAAAACTATGTCACTTCCATTTGTTTGAGATGAATAAAACAATCCTATTCCAGAAGGTCACAGACTCTTTGAAATGAGACCTGTACTGTCCATGAGTCCTGTCCTCATCTTGCTGGCTTGTGGGTGGAGCCACCCAACCAGATGATAGAGGATGATAGAGGCGGGGCCAATGTACACCAGCATAGAACAGTACCTGCTTGTTTTCTAGGAGTGACAACTGTGTTATCCATGACCACACTGATGATTGGTTCCCGCACATCCCTACCCAACACCAACTGCTTCATAAAGGCCATCGATGTGTACCTGGGGATCTGCTTTAGCTTCGTGTTTGGGGCCTTACTGGAGTATGCTGTTGCTCACTACAGCTCCTTACAGCAGATGGCAGTCAAAGATAGGGTAAGGATTTAGAGGGTGCTCTCTACACTCCATCACCTGGGTTATGCACTGCTCTGAAGAGGGGATCAAGGCTTGGTTCCTATCTCCAGAGTAATTCACTTTGGTCTAATGAGTCTTATTCCTACTAAGGTGGGCACATTGGAAGACAGGGTAACCCTTAGCCATGGTTGTTCTCTTCACCAGATAAAATGGGATATCGAATTTTAATTTTCTAGCAAAAAAACTATTATTCATATGCAACATGAAGGCATAATCATAAGAACAAGCATCTAAGAAAAAGCCTGATGTCAAACTAGATATGCTTAGATGTTCGCACACTTCAGATTAACATGTGGTTACTATTTAATTCTTCTGATGTAATTTTATACTCTTAATTTTTACAAGTAACAGCTTATTCAAAAAACACATGGAAGAAATCAACTTGTAACAAAATCCTTGGGATTATAATCTAAAACTTCTTTGCTCCAGTGCGATGCATTGTTTCTCCTTCACACAGTACTCTTTATAGTTACATTGGATCCCAAGGTTATTTGCAAACTAAATTTGATAGACATTAGCCCACTAACAACGGATAGGGATCAGAAAAGTGCCATCCTGAGCAGTGTGCTATCAGATCACAGGGGTCTAATAGTGAAGATATGGCAACCAGGAGACCAGTGGCTTTGCCATTGTGTTTGGTTGTTGTGAACAATCCAAGCACCAAAGACAGAAGAGCATGTGTACCAGTCAGAGGAGAATGTGGATTTCATGTATTTTCTTCCATAGGCTTCCCCTAATTACACACACAAATTCAGATTTGTTAGAATGATGTATGAAGGCTGGAGAATTCCCAAGATGTTCTATTGGAGCTACCAGTATACAGCCCCATGCCCCTGAATACATGACAGTAGGTGCACAGTGGAATATATGCTGTCTCCTTTACATCTCATTAAGTATCCCAAAACTCAGGGAAATTGAAAACCACCATTCTCCTTATTTTATTACTGAGAAATGTGTCCTCCAAGTAATGAAGCAACTCAGCCAAGACCCCATATCCTGTGTCATAGGCACCTTATTGGATAGTGGAAAGTCCCTGGATTTTCAGGGAAAACAATCCGTTTCTAGTGTGTGGCAAAGACCACATGACACAATGGGTTTATATTATCTCTCATAATCTCTTCTCCCAGAACAGACAAGAGCTTTACCAAATACCTGTTAGGTGCTTTACACAATTTATGCCACTTAATCTTCCCCTTAGTCTCATGAAGGAGCAATTAATATCATTACCGTGTTACGGACAGGGATTCAAGTAACTAAAGTTTCCGATAGTAACAGAACAACTGAGATTTAAGCCCCAGTCTACTACCTTCACAGAACCCTGTTCTTCCCAGTATCATACATATACATTACTGTGTCCTGTCTTCCAAGCTAACTATTTTCTATGAACCAGGGGACAGTGAAGGAATCAGAAGATGTCAATATTACTAACATCATCAACAGCTCCATATCCAGCTTTAAGCGAAAGATCAGCTTTGCCAGCATTGAAATTTCTGGTGACAATGTCAACTACAGTGACTTGACAATGAAAGCCAGCGACAAGTTCAAGTTTGTCTTCCGAGAAAAGATCGGCAGAATTGTTGATTATTTCACAATTCAAAATCCCAGCAATGTGGACCGATATTCCAAACTGCTATTTCCTTTGATTTTTATGTTAGCCAATGTATTTTACTGGGCATACTACATGTATTTTTGAGATGGCATTGAATTTTTGTAAGCCATGTCTTTAATAGAATAACATTATAATGCTAAAGATATTCTAGGACATGTGTATGCACTTTAGCCCAGAAAGCTACAAATGGGCTAAAATAATGACTATTCTAAGATGTGTAGAAGTCCTAGCATGACAAGAACCTATAATGAAATCACTATGAAGTGACCTTTTTCTTCTTCAGTTTTGGACAGACATCCCCACGGAGCTCAAGATCACAAACCTACTCAGGGCTCTTTGCTCTCTGGGTACCCGGTTTTCATTCACTGCATAAAAATACAGATTGAGGGTTTTATTTTCTAAAGAATTCATAGTGGCATTTACTAAATCTCTGCAATGTTTATAAGATGAATGCTTGCCAGTTTAGGGAACAACATTTTCTAATTTTTGTTTTTCCTTGAAGTGAAATGTGGGTTCATGTCAATTCACTGGTGGTCACCATACTGCATCAACTTAATACCAGATGAGTTCTCAGTATTACTTAGTACCACAGGAGAATTGTCCTCAAATTCCAGTAAGTTCTATTATTGAGAAAGCAAATGTTAATGAATAAAATTACCGGATCAATAAACTAAAACATAAATCCTTTAATATGGTTCCCCAAGCTTGAGGAACTCCTGGGATTTACACCACTGTTACACATTATTTTATTGTTATACACTCTGAGTCCTAAACTGTATAAAAGCTATTTCCCACACCAGGGAAACAGGAAGATGTTTTGAACTCATTTTAGGATTCTTAGTACAGAACACTGCCACGAAGACTTGCTGGGTCAAGTCTATTCTTGATCCACCTTTACTCACACACTGGCTAGGTTCCAAGTAGACCAGAGAGTTCTCAGACAGCCTGTCATTTTGTTGATCTCACACTGGGGAACGTTTTGTCAGTGGGAGATCCCCTGTATCCTTCCAGGAGGAGCTGTCATCCCTGTACTCCAGTGACCAGGCAGAAGTGATACCTTTAGATAAGGAGCCATATGACCCAGATACAAATACCTTGTCTTGTATAAATTATTTTCGCCAATCCTCATAACTGGACTAAATTTTTTCTTTGACCATGTCTTTACTTGCAAGGGTTCAGTGCAAAGAGTCATTGGTCTGGTTTGAGGCCTCTGGTTTCTGCTACACTGTGATGCTGGGCCCTAACTGGGACTCCTCTTGGATACCCTGTTGTTTCTTTGTGTCGTGGAGGTCCTGCAGTTTTAGGTCTACAGGACAGGTCCTTCACAAGCTCCAGAAAATCACAAATAGGGTGGATATTGGGGTGGGCCAACCCATAACCTGGTTCTGGGCCTGCATAGTTGCAAGGTTGATCATCCTGCAAGCTCTTTCCCCTTCCGCCCCCCCCCACCCTGATCCTCACTACCAGGGTGAGCTCTCTAGTAGCTGGACAACTTTAAGTGGCTTATCCTGCACTCCCAGGAGACGACTGGCCCTGAGTCTTGAATTCTCTGAGCAGAGATAAGACCATGAGTTGTCTTTTCTGAGTTCAGCCAGTGTCACCCTGACCTAGGAACTCATGTACTCCTCTCCCTCGATCCTTGGGACTCAACTATTTCAAAGACACTCACCATCCTCAGCGCTTCAGCCTTCTTTTCTAATGAATGTATGCCTTTTACTATCCTTTCTAAAACAAACCAGAACTTCAGATGGTCTTTGTTTTCACTTCCATAGGCTCTCCTTTTTATTGTCATGATACTCCTCTTCATGATTCAGTTTCTATGAGCTTGATTGTCTGGCACTTAACAAATGTTTCTACTTTAAAATTCTTTAAATTGTTGGAATATACTTTGAAGCTAGGTGTAGTTGTACCATTAGAATTCTTAGTAAAATCTCTGTATATTTTATAATTGTCATGCACATCTTTAAGGGGAGAGGTTAGTAGGAGATGGGAAATGTGGTTAAAGGATTCAACCATATTTGTAATTTTTTATAAAAAAATGTTTAAAATATAACTTCACTGAGGACTCATGTAAGCTATTGAATAATGATAATTGTAAATATGTGAAACTATAAAATAAATATACCATATGAGCTACAGAGTGGCAATTATAGAGCAATGTCAACATGTCCCACATACAAAAGATGTATATTATAGTGCTAATTCAAGAGCCTCACACTCCTCCATGCTTCTCTCCTACCCCAGACAACACATTACACATTCACACACAAGGAGAAAAATATAGTTTTGTAGATGTAAGGATATAGTTTGGGAGAAAAACAGCCTTTAGATTTTAGAACCATGGTGCCCTTTGGGTGGTAGACTACAGCATTCAAATTCCTAACAAAAACTGCTAACTCCTTACATCTGCCCCAAATATTCTGCCTATCCTGAGTATTATCTATACAGATTTTATTACAAATACTTAGTTTTAGATGAAAATATCAAGAAGAATTTTATCAAATATCCAAATGAATGTAACTAGATGGGATAAGACATACTGTAAGTCATGGAAGCACAATCTTTAACTATCTTGTTATTGAGAATATCAAAAGTCTCCACAGAGGGAGTTGTGTAAACATCGGAAGGCATCCAATAGAGAACAAATGTCGTAAGGCTCATTTCAGATGGAGGCAGGGAGAAGTGAAGACACGAGCACAGCAGAAAGATCTGGAGAGTGCTGCAGACCACAAGCTGGAAAGGAGTAGCCATGCAGCAGGTCCCATGCGAGGAAAACAGTGCAGTGTGAGCCTTCAGTACCAGCCCAGGACAGAGACTTAGCGTCAAGTTTGATGTCCAAGGTTGCCAAATAATCTTCCTCCAATGCTGGGCATTACTCTTTCAGGGGCAGGACTGTTCTCAGCTGCTGGTCCACAGTGAATTTTCATTAGTCCATGTTACATTTTGCTGCAAAAGCTCCTTAATTCTTAAATATACATTCTAAAAATTGACTTTCAATGTACAGGTAACATGCTTGTCTTAGTTAGGGTTTCTATTGCTGTGACCAAACACCATGACCAAAAAGCAAGTTAGGGAGGAAAGGGCTTATTTGGCTTACACTTCCATATTGCTGTTCATCATTGGAGGAAGCCAGGACAGGAACTCTAACAGGGCAGGAACCTGGAGGCAGGAGCTGATGTAGAGGCCTTGGAGAGTGCTGCTAAGTCACTTACTCCCCATAGTTTGCTCAGCCTGCTTTCCTATAGAACCCAGGACCAGCAGCCCAGGGATGGCATCACCCACCATGGACAGTGCTGTCCCTCATTGATCACTAATTGAGAACATGCCTTACAGCTGGATCTCCTGGAGACATTTCCTCAACTGAGACTCCTTCCTCTGGTGACTCTAGCTTGTGTCAAGTTGACCTACAAAACCAGCCAGTACAATGATCCAACATATGGTTAATATGATTTCTGCACCATGCTAAGGACTTAAAAGAAAATTTTCAAATGAGTAAGTTTCATCTATTATTAATTAAAAAATATAAATACTAAGGGGCTGGAGAGAAGGCTTCTCAGTTAATAGCACTTGCTGATCTCGCAGAGGATTCAGTTTCCACCCTCCGCATGGTGGCTCACAACTGGCTGTAAATCCCAGTCCCAGGGCATCTGATGCCTTTTCCTGGCATCCACAAGCACTAGGGAAATGTGATGCACACTTACACACAGGTAAAACACCCATATACATCAAATAAAAGTAATCTTAAAGCTGGAAGTAGTGGCACACACCCTTAATCCAAGTACTCAGGAGACAGAGTAGGTGAATATCTATGAGTTTGAAGCCAGCCTGCTCTACAGAGCAAGTTCCAGGACAGCCGGGGCTACACAGAGAAAAGCTGTCTCAAAAACAATAATTTTTTTTCTGAGACAGGGATTCTCTGGAACGTGCTCTGTAGAGCAGGTTGGACTTGAACTCAGAGATCTGCCTGCCTCTGCCTCCAGAGTTCGGGGATTAAAGGTGTCCACCACCACCACCACCTAGCAATAACAATAAATTTAAAATATGTGTATCAGGGCCTGGAGAGATGGCTCAACAGTTAAGAGCACTTGCTGCTCTTGCAGAGGATCCAGAATGGGTCCCCAGCAGCAACATGGTGCCTTATAACTGTCTGTAACTCCAGCTTCAGGGGATCTGATGCTCTCTTATGACCCCTGGAAGCACCAGGCACCACATGGTACACATGAACACATGCAGGCAAAAATCTCATCCATATAAAATAAAAATATGTATATTAATCCAAGCATGGTGGAGCACGCTGGATCTCAGAAAGTTGACAGTTAACCTGGTCTATATAGCAAGTTTCAGGCCAGCCAGGGCTACATAATGAGACCCTGTCTCAAAAAAAATGTATATCAATCTTTTTGTAAAGAATATATATACATGTAAAGATAATATATATCATGTGTGCACGTGTGTGCGTGCGTGCGTGCGTGTGTGTGTGTGTGTGTGTGTGTGTATTGGTGTATTTGATTTTAAAACCATTGAGTCCAATTCTGGCCCACATTTTTAAAAACAATGTATAGAAGCTGGAAAAGAGAAAAATATCAGAGGTTGTTAAAATTGTGAAAAGCAAGTCCAGGGACTTTGCACCTTGAAATGCAAGGCTGAGTGGTTGTGCCTGTCGTTATTAGGTTTTCTAGAGTGTTCTTGTAAGGGACAGGCTGCTCTACTGTTCTACTGAGTCAGTGAACTGGATACAAGTAAATGGGCATAAATGAATGTACGAGAGAAAGTCTGATTGTTTAGAAGGAAGGAAATAAAATGCTCAGATTCGCCATCTGGAAACTTCCTTTGGGAATAAACAATAAATAATAACAAACAATCATCTCTCCCCTTTGATTTTGCCGTCAGCCTGACATAAGCAGATGGCTTACTCTACCAGGTAATCTTGGGAGGTTTGTAGATGCAGAGAGACACCTCTCAGTGATGAAAATTAAAGCCTCATACAAGGCATTGCTAACACAGAAGCAAATGCTTATGAATATTCCTGTTAGCCCAAGAGGTTGAGTGCAACAACTGTGATTTATTTGGGCAGACTTAGAGTGGAGTGGTGTGTCTCACAGCTTTCAGTGACCATCCAGCTAGCCTGTTTATAATGGTGCCTTTCCAGAAACTAGAGAAAGGACGATTTGGAAAATTGAACAGAAATTTAAAAACTATCCACATAGCTTAATAAATGTTCATCTGCATCCCTATGACCATTGAGAGCATGTGAATTTGAAAGCATGTTGTCTGTTCTTCTATAAGTGAAGACAAGTCAATAGCCAAGAGGTCTTGGAGGTTGGGTGGTTCAAATCTTTCTTCCATGACCTGTTTCCTTTTCAAATACAGGCAGGTGGATGTTTTTATTAAGTTCCTGAAGAATATCTAGGTAGGTGTCTTACCATGCAAGCATAAGGATATGAGTTCAATACCCAGAACTTCCACAAAAACCTGACATGGCCATGTGCCTTTATAATCCCACCTTTGTGAAGAGTGGTTCAGAAATATGAGGATTTCTAGGTCTTCATGTCTACCAGCTAGCTCCTGGTTAAGTGAAAAACCAAGTTCCAAGGGACTAAGATAGACTAATAGATCAGGACACTACGCACATGCACACACATGCACACACACACACTATACCCTATACATATATACACTACAATTACACAATACTCACATATACACTCACCTACATGTACACACACACAAAAGCCAAACATGGATATCTGTAATCCTAACACTGGGCAAGGGGAGACAGAAGCCAGTTTAGCTGAATCAGCAAACTCTAGGTTCAGTGAGAGACCCTGTCTCAAAAAAGTAAGGTCTTGGAGAACAATTGAGAGAGACACCAAATATTGAACCTCTGGCCTTCACACGCACACACACAAATGTTTATACACTCCCACAAAAATGCACACACATGAACATGTACAAACAAAAAAATCCCAAATAAATAAGATTTCATAATTCATTGTTAGAATCTCCTTCATCTATCAGTCTCTTTATCTTTTAAAATTTGAATCTGAAATGTTCCCTCAAAGGCCCATGTTTTGAATATTTTTCCCTAGTTGGTGGCATTACTTTGAGAGGCTGGAAAACCTTTAGGAAGTGGGACTTATCTGGAAGAAGTAGGTCCCTAGGGCAAGGTTATACTTGCTCCTAGTTGAAATGTTTTTTGTAAATGTGCTAGGATGTTTTGCTTGTGTGTGTGTGTGTGTGTGTGTGTGTGTGTGGTGTGTGTGTGTTTGTACACCTACCATGGAGGCCAGAAGAAGCTACCATATCCTCTAGAACTGGAGTTACATCAGTTGTGGCTACCACGAGGTTGCCGAGAATTGAACTGGGTCCTCTTGAAGAGCAGCCAGTGTTCTCTACCACTAAGCCATCCTCCAGCCCCTGCTGCTGTCTACTTCTTGGTGCACTGTGGCATATGGAGCTCTGGCACATGCACTGACCACCATCAACTCTGCCTTGCCTTCTCCACCATGAAACCCTCTAAAACCATGAACAAAAATAAATCCTTCCCCTCTTACATGGTTTCTGTTAGGTGGTATAGTCAAAGCCATACAAAAGTAACTAATATACTACCATTAGTTAGCATACTTAGAAATTTTCTTTTATATCTTTTCTATACAATTGTGTAGAAAAAAAAGATAGTAGTAAGTCTGGATGCTATCCTTAGAATGCTGATTGTAGGGAGAGCCCTCGGCATACACTGGGGAATCGAATCTGGATTTGGGAAAGGTTCCATCATCCTCTAGCTGATGAAAACTGCTTAAGATACCTAGGTCATCTGCCAAAGCCATGCATTGGTCTCAGAAGTCTAGAATGTTGGTGCATGGTAGGCAGAGGAGCTATGTGACTGACAGCTGGCGCAAATCAGGGGCACTGAGTCTAATGAGATCTCAAGGCACACCATTTCCTATTTCCCAGAATTCTACACCAGAGGGGTTAAGCACGTACTGGCTGATTCTACTGGAGGGGATGGGGGAGGAGGGGCCCTATTGCCTCCAAATTGTGCTCCACAATCCTATTCCCTTTGCTGACTTTACTGTGAATCCTCTTGCTTTAAAAAAAATTATACCCATGCATGCAACCATGTACTGAGTCTTACT